AGACGGGCCGAGCGGAGGACCTTCGAAACGCACGAAGACAGAGATCACAGAGATGGCAAAACCAGTGGAGACGGCAGAAGAGACTCCCAAAGAGGAGAAGATGGACGATGCACTTGATGCTGAACCTGTTGAACCGTTCCATGGCTGCACCGCTATCGATCCGTCGAACGCACCCAAAGAGGAATTGTCAGACGATGACGTAGTCACCATGAGTACACAAAGCACTCCGGATCGTCCGACCAGTTCGCGTGAGGTGCTCGACCGAGACAAGTTCATCATGAGCCGCTTCCAAGGGGAGATCGGGCTGAGCTCCGACAGCGATGGTCACGCATTCGTAGCTCTGGATCACCGGACTATGAACAAAGGAGAAAAACAAGTGTTTGTCGCCGGCCTGCAGACTTTGCAAGAGAACGACTCAGTCCTGCACGCACTAGTTTCGAACAACCCGTTGAGTGTACAACACATGGTCATTGTCAAGGATGACATGTTGATCAATGCACCCCAGAGTGCAAAGGTATTCGATGTAGGTGCAAACTGGGTGAAGACCCGCAAGGAGGTCATCAAGCACATTTCAAATAAGATCCCTGGTTTGGTTGTACTGTTTTTGGAGAACACGGACCCCAGGAGGATTTGGAATGATATGCTCATGGAAGTCGACATGTATGGTTGCAACCTTCTTCTTTTCACACCACTTCTCGAGATATCTGTCGAACACTCCATTTGTCTTGGTGGCGACCTAGAGTTTGCCTTGGCAGGTCCACAAAGCCCCAAGCTCTTGGAGGCGCTGGAAGGTTGGTGCGGAGAGAACATGATTCCAAAATGTTTCGAAGACGCGAAATCGGCAAGACTCCTAGAGATGTTGAACACCATGTCAGAAGAAACTTATTTGGAGCATTTTGCACGGACATGTTTTGTCGCAGACGAACTCGAAGACATCTCTGAAATTGAGGACAGTGACATTGAGGGAGTTCTTCAGGAAACCAAACATGATGATGGAAAACCGTTGACGGCAAGAGAACAGGAAGAACTCATGCTAGATCAACTTGCATTGCCCGGAGCCGACATGACGGAACAGAAACGGAGACGACTGTGGCGTGCTCTCCCCCAGAGGACTCGCATTGCAATTCGTCGCTTGCATCGGCAGTTCGGACATCCCGCACCGTCAACTTTGAAGAATATCTTAAAGGCAGGTAAGGCAAGCAAGGAGTTGATCGAAGCTGCACGTCTCGTCCGTTGTCAGTCCTGCGAAGACACTGCACCACGTCCCCGTGATCATCCGGTAGGAAATAGTAATTTCCAGTATGAGTTCAATGCCATGCTTGGTCTTGATGTCACAGAAATGAAGGACTATGCAGGAAGCAAGTACAGCATTCTCACGATGCTAGACATTTCGACAGGATTCCATTTGTCAGAGGTTGTCAAAGAAGGTGGAGGTATGCCAACGTCAGAAGCCTGTGCACAAGCCATTCTTCGTAGATGGATCAGTTGGGCAGGTTTTCCAAAGGCTGCAATCATGGATAGAGGTGTCCACAACCGAGGTGAGGTGTCCAAGCTGTTCGCTTCGCATGGTGTTGAGATCTTCTACGCACCATTGGAAACCCCTTCAGCCATTGGCAAGGTTGAAAGGCACCAAGGTATCTTGAAGGCAATTCTCAGGAAGACCATCCATGACATGGAAGCCGTTGGTTGCAATGCGTTTGAAACATGTTTGCACGAGTGCACTTCCGTGAAGAATCACATGCAAAGAGTCCAAGGCTATTCTCCAGCACAATGGGTCCTGGGAAGGAACCCAAGAATTCCAGGATCTGTGACAGATATGGATGAGGCAGGAAACTTGGGCATCTTGGAGAACAAGCTTGACCCTGCAGCAAGCTATCATTTGTGTCACGCATCCCGTATGGCTGCACAAAAGGCATTTATTCATCTGGATACAAGTTCCCGTGTTGCAAGAGCATTGACTAGGAATGCAGCAGTCCAGAACAAGAAGTCATTTGTGGTTGGAGACCTTGTGGTCTACCGTCGAGACACCCAGCAAGGTGGAACCGTGTGGTCCACTGCTTCGCGTGTGATTGGCATCGACCCGCATAATGGCATCTGGTTGCTACATGAAGGTATTCCTATTTTGTGTGCCGCTGGAAAACTTAGATCAGCCAATGAGAGTGAATCGTTGGCCTACTCTGTTTTGAACAACATCCCAGTATTCCCAGAGGCAGTGACATTGGGACAGCAGAAGTACATCCGAATGATGGACGAAGAAGCAAGCCCTAAGAAGGGACAAAAGAGAGAAGCACAAGCAGAAGATAAGACGGGCAAGGCTGCCCGATCATCTGCAAGCGCGAGTGGAAGCGCAGTCGCAGTTCCGATGACCCCCGGAGGCATTGGTGGTGATGATGAGGTCATGCTCGCAATGATTGACAATGAAGATCATTGGAGAATCTCTGAGAATCATGCAATTCGTGTTCACAACAAGAGGAGATTCCATGACTTTCATCCGCTGCATGACGGAGATGTTCCGGAAGGATTCGGAGGAAGACGCGTAACCAGAAAAGTCTATGAAGACGGAAGTCGAATGACCAGCGAGTCCATGCCGGGCATGGATGATGTTGATTCTCGCGCATGGACAGGTTTCACAATCTTTACACGGGTAAAACACCCGTTGATCGCCATGGCCGCTGCTGACGACACTGAACTCGATGCTGCAGAGTTTCGAGCCTTTGTGGCTCAACGCTTTGGAGAAAACAGTGAGACGCAGGTTGGCAAGGTGGCAAAGACGCTGCAATACGACCGATGCACTCCCGAGATGCAAGCCCGCATCTTGGATGCACGTCGTGCAGAGTGGAGCAAATATAGGAGCTTCAATGCTGCAATGCCTATTCGAGGCAAGGAATTGGAAGAGTTACTTCAAGAAGGGCATGTTCCTATTCCTATGCAATGGGTAGATGTGGATAAGCAAGCTCATCTGACAGGTACGCCTGAACATCGGCCAGAAAACAGATCTCGGTTAGTAGCTTGTGGAAATCACGAACAAGTGAGCCGTGATTCACAGGGTATTCGTTGCGATAGCCCCACTGCTGAGACTGAAGGACACATGTTGATTGCAAGCTTCGCATCAAGCCATCGTGTGACCCTATATGCGGCAGATGTTTCCTCAGCGTATTTTCAAAGTCAGCCTATGACGAGGTTGCTGTTGCTCAAACAGCCACGTGGAGGAATTCCAAGCCCGGATGTTCCACCGGATGCAATGTTAGTTGCACGCCTTCCGATCTATGGCACGATCGACGCTGGCAGAGGTTTTTACTTGAGGATGAATGGTGAGATCACCAGTGCCGGGTTGAAGTGCAGTCGCATTACACCTGCATTGTACTATTTGCACAATTCCAAGGGAAAGTTGATAGGCATGGTCGCGACACATGTCGACGACTTGTTGTATTGCTACCTTGACGAAGGCAAGAAGACAATTGAAGGTATCCTCAAAAGGTTCACGATTGGCAAGACAGAATCGGGAAGGTTCCGATACTGCGGACGCCAGTTCGTACAGCATGAGGACTACTCCGTAAGCATTTCTACAAGTGAAAACTGCAGAACAGTGAAGCCGATCGAAATCGACAAGCACCGGAAGCTGTCGGAAAAGGTGACAGAGAAGGAGTTGACAAGCCTCAGGAGCGTTGTTGGTAGTTTGGCTTGGGTTGCCCGTTATGGAAGACCAGACCTTTGTTACCGTGTGAATGAGATGCAGCGTGCATGTAGCGCAAAGGCAACAGTGCAAGACTTGAAGAACGCCGACAAGGTTGTTGAATTGGCACTTCAAGGAAGTGACTTGCAGATCACCTTCAAGAGTGATTGGATTGACTGGAGCGATCTGGCAGTTGTGACATTTAGCGACGCAAGTTTCGCAAACGAAGAAGGCTTTAAGAGTCAGCAAGGCCGCATTCACTACATAACGAATGCGAGCAGCCTCAAGGAAGGCAGTCACAGAATGCATCTGATCAGCTTTGGTTCAACTACCCTCAAAAGGGTGTGTCGTGCTACATTGCAAGCAGAAGCATATGCTCTGCAAACTGCAGTCGAACATGGAGACCGCCTACGATGCCTGATTTGTGAGTTGACCGGACGACTTAATGACTTCAAGAACTGGCATGAAGAAACCCAGAGGCGAATGGCACACGTGTACTACACGGATTGCAGGAGCTTATCGGACCATTTACTGGCAGAAGTTCCAAGAAAGGTACAAGACAAGAGGCTCGGCATAGAACTTGCCGCATTGAGGCAAGGAGTGTGGACTGTGAGTGGCGAGAAAACATCAGAGATCTACAGTCCCTATGGTGACCACCTGAGGTGGATTGAGACATCGAAGCAATTGGCAGACCCGCTAACCAAGAGCATGAAGCCGGACTACCTCCTCAAGACACTGGAAAGTGGCCTTGTGAATGTCGAGAACAGTGGCGCATGCGAGAAGGGAGCCAAGAAGAAAGATGAAGAAGTCTCACCTGACTTGTTTTGAGAATTCGACATGGAATGGCATGGTTTACGGCCCCACGGGGAATAGAGTTGCTTGGCTGCCTTTGTACAACTTGAACTGTAAAGCCCGCAACACACCTGTAGATAAGACGGGTGTGAATTTCAGCTGTTGTAGCCAGGGTGTATTGCGTACAGTTGATGCACCGTCGCTGCTGTTTCGGCTGAACAGGGCCCTTGAGCTGATTCGCTACTGCGAAAAGGAACTGTGCGAGATTCAAACAAGTGTTGCAGTTGCGGAATCAATGTACCAAGACCCAACATTTGTCATTTTATATTTGGAACTTACAAAAAGGTGCTGTCAGGATAGTGGAGATTTCAAGGACAAAGCCAACCACAATCTCTGGTTAGGCCGCAAATCAAGTCTGAATGTCAGAAAAAGCGGGAAGCACAAACCATTGTTGCCCCACACCTGCGCCCCTGAGGTTTGTGGACGATGCCCCATCCTCTGTGGGGTCGCAAATGCCACACCGCCCACCTGCCAGGATGGAGCAATTCTCCCGGGACGCCAAAGCGGTCCGCGCTTGGATGCAGACCCAGGCCATTACTGTGTCTTGGTTCCGAAGCATTTTTTGGGAGGAGGAATTCGGACGTGGTTGGGTCACTCTCAGGGCACAGAGACAGGGACCATGATAATCATGGATCTTATTTTTCCACTGCAATTGAAGAGACTCGGATACTTCAGTCATGTAGTATAATTCGATGATTCATGATTCAGAGTTTTTCAACAGAAGGTACGATTAAATTCCATGCGACCGGGATTTGGACGACCACAGTTTTGGGATCAAGACTCAAACCTCATCGGCTCGTCCAAGGTGAAAGTGCCCAACTTGGAGATTAGAGTATGAGCCAAGTAGTGTGGCCAGAAAGAGCTAGCCAGTAGGTCTAATTTCCAAGCGTTCATGTCTTGGTCTACTGGTTGGTGGTTTCATGTTTTCAATGATGCAAAAGACGAGTGAGTTGTTGAGGTTAGAATGCTTTACAGCAGACCCCTATTCTTCCTACCACAAAGATCGTTAAAGTAGAAAACCAAAGTCATTTGGTGGTAAAGAGAAAGCCCCTGTGACCGCTGCATCCAGGAAATGTCGACAAGAGTATGGAATGCATGGACAAACATTTATATATATATATATATAGACAAAACGCATCGATAGTAAAGATCATGCGATACATGTAACTGTAAAAGGGCTATTGCTATTAGGTTGGAGGCCGTAGCTATTTGGTTGGAGGCCATCGCTAGTAGGTTGGAGGCCATCGCCAGTAGGTTGGAGGCCTTCGCTAGTAGGTTGGAGGCCGTAGCTATTAGGTTGGAGGCCACCGCTGGTAGGTTGGAGGCCATCGCTAGTAGGTTGGAGGCCATCGCTAGTAGG